TCTAGGAGGTGGTGCTCATCTCCATTTCCAAGCCGAAGAGCCAGCACTGTCCGAAGACGTTTCCGTGGCCATGTGGCCGGCATGACTAGATGCCGAGGCGCACAGAACGCTGTTCCCTTCCCACCAAAGTGGTCCCTATTTATCTACTTGCAATTTCTTGCTTTCGAACTGCTAGGTTGGCAGGAGCTGGTGCCAGAGACGGGAGTTCACTCCGTCACGTCGCACTCGGGTCCCGGCCTGCCAGCCTTCCGGTCTGCAGCTCAGCGTCTTAACCTCTGAGCCACTGTGGCCCTCTATGTGGGCTTAGACAGGCAGATTTCTTCCTCTTCTCCCATTTCCCCCTGACTCTCCCGCTCTTAACCTTCCTCCTGTTCCGAAGTATATGATGAGGTTTAGGGTGGGGCTGGCAGTTGCTCTCTGCTTGCAGTTCCGAAGTATATGATGAGGTTAAGGGTAGGGGTTCCAGTTGCTCTCTGCTTGCATGCTGAACATTCTGGCACCAGGATCTGACTCCTGGGCACATATTAAGTCCTCGTCGTGCTTCTTCTCGACACCCCCCCCCTTTTTTTCCTATTGTTTACTATATTCTGCCTTTTGGTTCAGTATGTACGCAAAGAATAAAACGAGTATAAAGCAACAAAGGGCAGAGTCCAATGCCAGCAGAGAAATGACACATCCAAGAGCAATAAAGAAAGCAGAAGATTTCTGCCTGCCCGTTGAAGAATGAACCGATATATTGCTATGTTGTTAAGTGAACGTTTTCGCCTTAATCTTTTCCCCCCCACCCCCTTCTATAGATCACGTCGCGGAACTGAGTCAAGATTTCTGCCTGCCCGTTGAAGAATGAACCGATATATTGCTATGTTGTTAAGTGAACGTTCGCCATAATCTTTTTCTCCCCCCCCCCCTTCTATAGATCACGTCGCGGAACTGAGTCAGTCCGGATGGGAAGAGAGACCTCCTTGTGCCGCTGACCTGGAAACCCGCTCCTCCCCTCCCCCTATCCGCACCACCACCTAACACCGGAGGGGAAGAGGAGACATACCGGGAGACCCTCCCGTATACCGGGAACTCCCATTTCCCACCAAGACCGATTGGATCGTTTCTTTCTCTTTTATCCTTTTATTTCTGTTTTAAACTTTGTATTTCATTTGGCCGTGCTTGGTTTTGTGTTCAGTGAATCATGTGGCGTGGAGGAAGGGAGAAGGAAGGGCACCCCGAAAGACGCGTAGCAGGGAATGGATCCTCCAGGGTCAGGGGCAGGCTACCTTGGGTGGCCAGGTGCCAGTGGCAAAGGACCGAGGGGAGCCACCTCTCCTTGTGGCTGGCCGGGTGACATCTGGCAGGTCACCGGCTGAGGCTCAGTGCTTGACTAAACGGATGTTTGGTCCGATCCGGCACTGCGATATCCTTATGCTTTTGTGCACCTCCATTCAGATAGGGCTGCCAACCTCCAGGTGGGTAAACCAAAGAAGGGATCACTAGTTACAGGGAAATAGATCAAACAAACAAACACTGTGATAAAAATGACATTGGCATTTAATAAATCCCATGAACATCAATTGGTATATCAAAGAAGAAGAGATTGGATTTATCAGGGGTCATTTCGTAGAAAAAGAGCTAGGGGAACTCATTAGCATAACTCATTAGCATATGCCACACCCCCTGACATCACTGGAAGTGTGTCATAAGGCCACACACCCTGACATCAACGGAAGTGTGTCATAAGGCCACACACCCCGCCCCATCTTTTTACAAAAATTTCTTCGTTTTTCCCCTGTAACATTACATTCAATTTATCCATTTCAGCGACTCCCATCAGTTTCTCTATTACTTCATCTCATTTGGGGTTATTATCTTGCTTCCAATATTTTGCCCATTGTATCCTAGCTGTAGTTATTATACATAATATTAAGTGCTTTTCATTGTAATTAAGATGTTCTGGAATTATGTTAAGTAAAAATATTTCCGGCACTAAATCAAGTTTCACTTTTGCCATTTCCTGTATTACTTTCTGGATAGATTTCCAGTATTTCTGTATTTTTGTGCATCGCCACCACATATGATAAAATGTTCCAACACTTGTTTTACATGTCCAACAAATGTTGGAACAATTTGCATAACATTTTGCTATTCTTTCTGGTGGCCAATACCATCTGTGAAACATTTTGAAAACATTTTCTTTAAAGCTAGTAGCCCTCATAACTTTAATAGATTTCCAAATCTTTAGCCAATTTTCAGGTTCTCAAGGGAAAGTCCAACATCTTCAATGAGCCCCCGGGGAAAAACTCATTCCACCCGTCTTCCCCAGGAGTAATCCTATTATGTTGGAAGGTGCTCATTGAGGATGTTGGACTTCCCTTGAGAATGTTAGAATCTCCTTAGTAACATTGCAAAGTCTTATTTGATATATACAAATTGATGTTCCTAGGATTTATTAAATGCCAATGTCATTTTTATCACAGCGTTTGTTTCCTTGATATAGAACCTCCAAGTGGGGCCTGGTGTTCTCCGGCAGTTTACGACAGGTCTCCAGACCACAGGAATTGACTGCCCCAGAGAAAAGGACAGCTTCGAAGGTCGGGTGCCAGCCTCCAGGTGGGGCCTGGAGATCTCCCACCATTACACCTTTTCTCTGGTTGCCAGAGATCAGTCCCCCTGGAGAGAACGGCTGCTTTCAAGGGTGGACTCTCTGGCATTCTACCCTGCAGCAGAGGCCCCTCCCCTCCCTAAGCCCTGCCCTCCCCAGGCTCCGCCCCCTAGTGAGCAGCAACCCTCGGAATTCTGCAACTGGGGTTTGCCAGGCCGTTGGCCCCGGGCCTTCACTGAGTCCATAAGTCTGAAGTCAGTCCAGGGGCACCTTCCAGAAGGGTAGCTAGGCTAGCCTGTTTGCATCAAAATAAAGCAGGGTCCCAGTGGCGCTCTGAAGACAAAACACAATTTATTCCAGGTGGGGTCGCCGTCTTGGTCTGAAGCAACAGAACGAAGTTTGAGCCCAGCGGCCCCTTTAAGACCGACAGCTTCCAATTAAGACCAACAAAGTTTAATTCTGGGTGTCAGCTCTCATGTGCGTGCACGGAAGCTTATAGCCCAAATTAAACTTTGTTTGTCTTGCAGGGGCACGGGTCTCAGACTTTCTACAATTTATTCGAGTAGAAATTTCCCTGCGTCAGAGCTCCCTTCCTCAGAGGGCTCCACCCGCAGTGGAGGAGGAGGAGGAGGAGATTGGATTTATACCCCACCCTTCGCTAACCAAAGGTGTCTCAGAGCGGCTTACAAACTCCTTTCCCTTCCCCTCCCCACAACAGACACCCTGTGAGGTAGGTGGGGCTGAGAGAGCTCTTGACAGAAACTGCTCTTTTTCAAGGACAGCTCTTGTCAGAACTATGGCTTGCCCAAGGTCATCCAGCCAGGTACAAGTGGAGGAGTTGGGAATCAAACCCGGTTCTCCCAGATTATGCCTCATGAATCCATGCGAAGCCGCCTTTGGAATCAGACCTCTGGTCCATTGAAGTTAGTATTGTCTACTCAGACTGGCAGTGGCTCTCCAGGGTCTCAGGTGGTGGTCTTTCACATCACCCTACTTCCTGGTCCTTTTAACTGGAGATGCCGGGGATTGAACCTGGGGCCTTCTGCATGCCAAGGAGATGCTCTGCCACGGAGCCACAGCCCCTCCCCAATCTTAGGCTGGGACAAATTGTGCGTGTCTGTAAATTGCCTGCGGACTCCAGTTTCATCCAACACAGGGGTCATTCCGTAGAAAAAGAGGTGCAGGAGTTCATTAGCATAACTCATTAGCATAACTGATTTGCATATGCCACACCCCCTGACATCACTGGACGTCTGTCAGAAGGCAACACCCACCGCTCAGGCTCCACTGGACTGGTTTGGATCGCTAGCTATTTGGGGGGGGAACGTGCAGGTCTGTCCTCGCAGAGGAGGGAGAGCTTGTACCTGAATAAAACCTGGTCTTAAAGGTGCCACTGGACTGTTTTGGGCCTTGGGTGGGGGGGCTCTGCAGCTTACCTGGCTGCTTCTTGCTCTGACTGAGGGCTGCTGGGAGCAGGGGGTGGGGCTTGTTGCATGTGCCCGCCCCCTGGGCTCTTTACTGCCGGAGTTCTGCTCCTGTGCACTCCTGCAGGAAATGACCCCTGATCCAAGGAATCCAGGCAGTTGGAAGAGAGAGAGTTCCCCATTCCACTTCCTGGAAACTGACTTTGGAAATGTACCAGTGGCCGGGTATCTCGCTGCTGGATTCAGATTGGCGGCATAGACAGGACAGGCCCACCTCCAGCCTCCCTCTCTCACACTGCCCCCCCCCGCCATTCCCTTCATCTCTCCCAAAGCAGAAGGCTCAAGATCCAGTCCACTTGTATAGTTGAAGTTGTTTTTTCTCTCTCTCACTTTCTGTGCCCTTTGACCACTCCCCGGCACACACGCAACACCCCTTCCAGCCTGCCTCGCTGCTCTATTAAAGCTTTGTAAATAAAGTGCAATGTCTAAAGAGTGTGTTTTATGGCGTGGGGAATGGGGCGGGGAGGCTGCCAGGCGAGGAGGTGACCCAGCTCTTCCTTACTGCACAAGCCAAGACGCCCCACGGAAGGACAGGTTCCCAGAGCTCTGCGGGATGGGATCGCGCACAACCCTCCAGCTGACTGTAAGTGCACGGCCAGAGAGGTACAGCCAGTGGACTGGGCAGAACTTGGGGGCCGGGACTCGTAGGGTTGCCATGCTGGGAAATTCCTGGATATTTGGTTAGATTTGGGTGGGTCGATGTGCTGGTCTGAAACAGTAGAACGAAGTTTGAGTCCAGGGGCACCTTTAAGACCAACAAAGTTTAATCCTGGGTATAAGCAAGAAATTGCAAGTAGATAAATAGGTACCACTTCAGTGGGAAGGTAACAGCGTTCCGTGCGCCTTGGTGTTTCGTCATGCCAGCCACATGACCACGGAAACATCTTCGGACAGCGCTGGCTCTTCGGCTTTGAAACGGAGATGAGGACCGCAACCCTAGAGTCGGATTCGACTGGCTTTCGAGCAAGGGAACCTTTACCTATAAGCTTTCCTAAGCTTCAGATACATTGAAACACTTCCTCAAGCCTTACATATAGAAGAAGAGATTGGATTTATACCCCGCCCTTCACTGCCCAAAGGAGTCTCAGAGCGGCTTACAAACTCATTTCCCTTCCCCTCCCCACAACAGACACCCTGTGCAATGTTCCCTCTAAGTTGTGGAGTCTTGTGAACAAAATTCTACTTTGGGAGCTCCTGGCCATAAAGTTGTGAGTGAGCGAGTTGGCAGCTGCATAAATTAGTTTGCTCTGGGGCCCTCCTTCCTGAGCTAGGACAAAAATGCGTGAGCCGGAGGCTAAAAAACTGTGAGCTAGGTCACACTCACTCAGCTTAGAGGAACACTGCCTGTGAGGGAGGTGGGGCTGAGAGAGCTCTGCCAGAAACGGCTCTTTTTCAAGAACAGCTCTTATCAGAACTAAGGCTTGCCCAAGGTCATCCAGCAGGTGCGAGTGGAGGAGTGGGGGAATCAAACCCGGTTCTCCCAGATTAGAGTCCACGCACTTAACCGCTACACCAAACTGGCTGGTGGGGGGTTAGCTGCCAGGAAGGATATTGGGGGGGGGATTAGAGTCTGAGGAAGGCGGGGTTTGAGGAAGGACCTCAGAGAGGCATAATTCCATAGAGTCCACCTTCCAAAGCAGCCGTTTTTTTCCGGGGGGACTGATCTTTGTAGTCTAGCGTTCAGTTGTAAATCTGAGAGATCTCCAGGCCCCACGGAGTCTGGCAACCCTATATGTACATATCAGGATCCCCCGCGCATGAGGTTTTTAACTGAAGACTGAGTGGAGTAACAAACGCAGGGCCCTTGCTTTTTACTTCCGATTGTACCTATTTTAATAATTAAGCAAGTCTATGCCCTCTGTCCATGACAATGGAAAGGAGCAATGGAGAGAATTGCCAACCTCCAGGTGGTGGCTGGAGGTCACCTGGGATCACAACGATCTCCG